TGAGCACCCTCCTCATCCGCATGTTCCTCACAATGAATGGTTGTAGGAGGATGATCCGTCAGGTTCATACAGAGGAAAATCCAGCACCACTTCCTCTGCTAGAATAAAAGCAGATGCTTTTTCTCTGCATTCATGTTGTAACATCATGGAGAAGCTGCAGTATATGCAAGAGTTAGATATGCCAAGCAACATGAGAACTGTCATATCTAAGCTGCCATTCAAGTTAAGAGAGCAATGGAGGATTGCTGCATACGACAGTATGCAGCAATCCTCCTGGAAACCTCAAAGCACAGAGCTGTGTTCAGAGATCTGGTTGCATTCATTGAAAAGCACGTCAGGATTTTATCAGATCCTCTATTTGGCAACATTCAAGACTCACAATCTGGACCTGGCCGTGAGTAGGCCAAAGTCATAACCTGGAAATAGAGCTAAAGGAAACAGCTTTGCCAGTACCATCACCCCTGTACAGCCAATTGACACACCAGCTCATGGCTCAGCAGAGAAGTCAACTAGTGTTTGTTGTTCACAACATCACTCATTGGAGGAATGTCAACAATTTAAAAGGATAAAGCACAGGGATAAAATAAGTTTTCTTAAGGAGAAAGGCCTTTGCTTTGGCTGCTTAGGTGCAGGGCATAGGAATCGTGACTGTGATAGCCGGTCACCCTGCAAGATATGCTGTCGAAACCATCCCACCGTGCTTCATGTTGACAAAAGAAAAACGGCAAACAAAAACACAGATAATCCTAAAGAGTCAGTGCTATGTAACATCCCAGTATCTCATAAACGCTGCGGTCACACAGGGGCCAGCAAAGATTGCTGTTTTCTTTCCGTCTTACCTGTCCAAGTCAAATTCACCAAAGGAGACCAGATAGTGCACACACATGCATTCTTGGATCCTACAGCCACCTTCTGTTCAGAACATCTCATGCGAAGGCTTAATCTGGCTGGTAGACAAACCAACTTTTTCCTACAAACTATGGGACAGGAAAGAGTGCTACCAGCATATGAGTGTTCAGATTTAGAAGTATCTGGATTGGAGATCATCATCTTCTATAAACGGTCAGAGGTCCTCATACAAAAACAAATGCCTGTAAGTACAGACAACATTGCAACTGAAGGAGATTTGGAAAAGTGGCCATATCTGTCAAAAGTCCGAATTCCCAACATTAAGGCTAGCGTCGGCCTGTTGATTGGAAGCAACGCACCCAAGATGTTGGAGCCTTGGGAGGTCATTAATAGCCATGGGGATGGCCCATGTGCTATTACAACAGCACTGGGTTGGGTCATTAATGGTCCTTTACAAGATAATAGTAGCACAATGGAGGATAAGTGCCCTTCAGCAGTAGTGATTAGGATTTCCATCTGCAAGTTGGAGGAAATACTGAGTCAGCAGTACAACCACGATTTCAATGAGATTACTACAGAGGAGAAAGAGCTGTCAAGAGAAGACCTCAAATTTATGGACATTGTGGAAAGCTCTGCTACACTCAAGGACAGTCATCACAGCCTGAAGTTGCCCTTCAAGGAGGAAAATGTGTCTTTGCCCAACAACTTCTCTGTGGTAAAGCAAAGGCTTCTTAGCCTGAAGAGGAAGTTCATGAGCAATGAACAATTCTTTGAAGAATATAAAACATACCTTCAGGAGATGATCAGCAAATGATACGCTGAGCAAGTACCTACAGATCATTTGATTGCGGCAGTCATGAGGTGGGGTACATTCCTCATCATGGTATATATCACCTAAGGAAGAGGAGTCTGCAGGTGGTGTTTGGTTGTGGTGTGGCATTCAAGGGAACATCATTAAACCATCAACTTCTGCAGGGTCCCAACCCCACCAGCACATTGTTGGGTGTCCTTCTTAGGGTCAGGCCAGAACCTATGGCGGTCATGGGCGACATACAAGCCATGTTCCATCAGGTTAAGGTTGCATTGGAGCACAGAGACTTCCTTCAATGTTTGTGGTGGCCAGAGGGAGATCTGACCCAGAAAGTGTCAGAATATCGCATGACTGTCCACCTGTTTGGTGCTGTGTCTTCACCCAGTTGTGCCAGCTTCACTCAGTCCAACTTTCCAGTTGAGGTGGTGCTTACTTCAGGCTGCAGAATAACAGGAATAACACTCATGTTGCATTCCTGATGGGCAAGGCCAGAGTTACACCCTTAAAGATCATCACCATTCCTTGCCAGCTGCTGTCCTGGCCATTCATGTTGATCGGATGCTAAATAGAGAGCTGAAACTCCAGCTTCAAGAGTCAGACTTTTGGACAGATAGCACATCTGTGCTGAAGTACATAAAGAATGAGGATACATATTTCCATACCTTTGTGGCAAATAGGGTCTCAACTATTAGAGGAGCCACCACACTGCCGAATGGGGATACATCAGCTCCAAGGAAAACCCTGCGGATGATGCGCCCAGGGGAGTGCAAGTTTTTTTTAAAAGTTTTTGAGGAACCAGAAGCAGACTGGCCACGATATATGGTAAAGGCATTTGTAGGAGCAGATGACCTTGAGGTCAAGAAGGAGGTAACAGTTAATGCTCTAAATGTGGAAAGTGCAGCTGAAACTACTTATCAGCTAATGGCCCACTTTTCTGATTGGAGGAAGCTCAAGGTAACAGTTGCTTGGTTCCTTAGACTGAAAAGGACTCTCTTGGAAAGGAGTCGCAAGAGGACCAAGTTGGAGGCTTCCAATACCAGCAAACAGGGGCCAGACAAAGGTGTCACACCACAGGAGAAGCAAGCACTCAAAGTGGACACAGGAGGCTGTGCTTTGTCAGCAGATGACCTTTTGGAGGCTGAGCTTGCCATCATCCAGTACTGTCAGCACCAAAGATTTGGAGAGGAGATTGCTGCGTTGTCATCTGGAAAGGGTACAGTGAATAAAAGCAGCAGTATCTGCAGGTTGGATCCATATTTGGATAATGGACTGTTGAGAGTTGGAGAGCAATTGGCTAAAGGCTCCGTGCCGGTGGAAAATAAAAATCCACTCATCCTCTCCAAAGATCAACAAATAGCTACTCTGATCATAACGCACATCCACCAACAGCTTGCTCATAGTCACTACAATCACATGCTGTCCAAATTGAGAGGGAAATACTGAGTCACGAGTGCCAGCTCAGCCATGAGAAAAATCATAATAGACTGTTGCTTCTGCAGGAGATACCATGGGAGAATGGTGGAGCAAAAAGTAGCAAATTTGCCAAAGGAGCGGATTCTTCCTGATAATCCACCATTTACAAGTGTTGGTGTTGATTATTTTGGTCCAATGGAGATAAGAAAAGGATGAGGAACAGCATAAAGCTACGGAGTAATATTTACCTGCCTGGCCAGCAAAGGAGTCCATCTGGAGGTTGCCAACTCCCTGGATACAGATGCATGCATTAATGCACTATGTTTTTTCATCTGCAGGAGAGGTCAAGTTGCTCACATCAAATCTGGCAACTGTACCAACTTCATTGGAGCAGAGAGAGAGAGCTGAGGGAGGTTTTTGTATCTTTAAATCATGCACAGATTCAAGGAGTGTTGCAGCAAGATGGCGTCAAATGGTGTTTCAATACTCAAGCAGGATTGCACCATGATGGTGTTTGGGAGCGTGTTATCTGAATGGTGAGAAGCATTCTCCATTCAATTCTTTGACAGCAGCAATTGGACGACGATGGACTTCATACAGTCATGTGTGAAGCTGAAGCCATCTTGAATGATTTGCCAATTTCTAAACTGTCTGATGATCCACACTACCTTGAGCTGCTCACTCCCAACCATATCGCTCTCATGAAAGGAAAACCATCTCCGCCACCTGGGTTGTTTGAGCCACATGATCTGTACACAAAATGATGATGGAGGTAAGTTCAGGATATCGCCGAGCTGTTTTGGAAACAATGGGAATGGGAATACCTACCTTTGCTGCAGGAAAGGCAAAAATAGAACCAAAGGAGAAACCTTACATCTGGAGATATTGTGGTCGTAATGTATCCAACTGCCCCACAAGGATCGTGGCCAGTCAGAAGAGTCTTGTAGGCTTTCCATGACAAGAATGGACTTGTACGTTCAGTACGTCTGCAAACAAAGTCTAGCATCATTGAGAGGCCAATGACCAAACTTTGCCTGGTACATGAGTGTCATATGTGACTTAAAAGGATGTGATAAACTATATTAACCATTGTGTCATTGTGATTATGGCTCCTAAAAGTGTTGAATGTTTGTTACATTACAATTAGGGGCCAGTGGATACGAGCCATCTATTGTGTAAAATGTGTGTTTTTATTTGTCCTGTAGGGGTCACTTTACTGTCATGGGTGTCTGCCAATATAGCTAAGCCTAAACTTAAAGCCACTGAGGGGCTGCATAGACAGGCTACTTATTAATTCCTTTAGGTAACATCATTAGAAATCACTCTGTAAATTTCCATTGTTATGCGGATGATACACAGTTGTATTTATCTATGAAGCCAGAAGAAAGTAATCAATTAACTAAACTTCATAATTGCCTTAAAGACATAAAAACCTGGATGAGCACCAATTTCCTTATGTTAAACTCAGACAAAACTGAAGTTATTGTTCTTGGCCCCAAACAACTCAGAGACTATTTTAGTAGACTATTAGAGACTATTTGATCAAGATCTGTCTTTTAATTCTCATTTAAAACAAACCTCACGGACTGCATTTTTTCATCTGCGTAATATTGCGAAAATTAGGCCTATCCTGACCCAAAAAGATGCAGGAAAATTGGTCCACGCTTTTGTTACCTCAAGGCTGGATTACTGTAACTCTCTATTATCAGGTAGCTCTAGTAAGTCCTTAAAAACTCTCCAGCTAATTCAGAATGCAGCAGCAC